TACAGTACAATATCTACATGCTAAGATGAAAGAGATGATGTTACATGTTACATGTCATGGTGGTACATGATGGTCTTTGCATGAGAGCGAGGGGGGAAAAGGACACACAGATCGGACTGATGGGTAAAAACAGGAGGAGTGAGAGTGAGACGAGGAGTCGAGGGAAAAGGAAGAGAGGAAAGAGAGAAAGACAGAGACAGAGAAAAACATGGCTGTCAGCATGTTTCCTGCTATACTGGAGATTAAACCGCTTTCAGCACGTCAGCATACACTTAGACTAACAAGTCTCTCTCTTTCACACGCGCCAGAAATGTCCTCAAATATCTCCTTGACACTGGGGCTCATCGACAGCAGGAGCTCAGCTGATAAGGTGGAAGAAAAGGAGGCCACATATCTCTGCCAGCACACACGCACAGATACAAACATTCTTGATACATGCATCACCAACGCAAACACACACATCCATCAATGTGTATCTGCAGGTCATCTGAGAGGCTGCAACCTCCTGATTTCAGATTCAAGGCAGAGTCTTTCTTCCTTTCTCTCTCTCAGGAATCGGTGGAGGAGTGCCAGGTTAGTGGTGAAGGTCCAACTCTGTATGTGTTTGCTGTTCTGATGCTGGATGCTCACTGCTCTCAACAGATAATTCATCTCTTTGGAACCACTTGTTTAACTCGGCTGGTGCAGTGCTGGCTTGCAACTAAAACTGTTGTTATGGTTGGCTACTAATGAATTAATGAATAATAATTAACAATAAACGTTGAATGTTAGCATGCTTACACGCAAAACTAAGACCTTAACTACAGTAAACATTACCCTTTTACCATGGTTACATTACAACAGCATGTTGAAATCCTAATTGTGAGCATGTTAGCATTTAACGAACCATGAGTACCAATTCTTTATAAAAAAACCCAGCAAGCACCAAGTCAGCAGCCGTGATGCTTGTTTGGCTGCAGCATTTGTCACTTGTCTTGTTTACAGCAGTATTCTCTACCCATTGGTCACGTCTGCCTGTGACAGGGTGTTACAGGTTACCTCAACAACCACCTGCAGAGCCAGCAGAGAGACGGGTAAATTCAAAGCACACAAGATGAGACAACAAGGGTCATCACACATGTCCAGGAGAGTAAAGAGACCCTGCTAACACACAGCAGGACCGTGAGGCAGCTGCGGTTTCTCCTTTTATACAGCGACTCTGTCTGAGTGACTCTAAACTGCTGCTGCACTCTCCTCGCCTCACAGATTGAGGCGAAACTGATGGAAGTTTCAAATTCATTTCCTTCTTATGTAACCTCCATTTTGCATGTAGGATTGCAGTGTAAGTAGAAGATGAAGCAGCAGGTAATTTGAATTCAATTTGAATTTTTTAGTTAATGAAAATTAACGAAAATGAATGAAAAAAAAGCTGAAAATTTGTTTTTCTTCCTTTGAACGTCCACAGGAGACACTAAAGGCATGGTTTCATTACAGTAGGATTCAATTTGTCAATTTAAATATTTTCAGTGCTTATTCCTTTTAAAATAAATCTGAAATGAAGAATGAGAAATATTATGAAAAGTCTTAAATTATTACTAAAACCCCAATCGAAAGAGCTTATTTTTATTAAGTAAGGTTGAGGGAGCGCTGTTGAGCAATAGAGGAGTAACACACATTTCCAAACAAATTAATACTTTTAATATACGCCCAACAGAGATAGCTGCCACTGCAACGCTGTGGAACGGGACATCTGTGCTACCATCGACCACCGCATCCAAGATGTGTATACAGACTAAAGAGAAGATGCACAGCTCATTTATGTGTTGATTTTTCTTGTTATTTACATCCTTTGTATTTTTAAGCTTTTATTTAAAGTCAAATAATCAAACTGTGTGTTGATTGATCGGTTGAATGCCAGTGAAGCCTGAGGCTGAATTAATCCATCTTAACCACTTTAATGCAGCGACAGCAGACACATAACAGCTAGCAGTGAAAGCCTCTGTTTGTGGGTTCATATGGGAAGACGGTGCAACAGTACACAGAGAGTCTGGAGGTAAATGCATTTTCATCGATTGGGAATAATCACATGCTGATTGCTTTTGACGCCACTTCACACCAGCTGTGGAGACAATATGATGCCACAGACATGAAGGTAAACTGAAGGTGCATGGAGACAAACTCAGACACGAGAGAGTTGCGACTCTGACACCAGATGCTTCATTGTGCGTTTGTTGATGGCGGGGGGGGGTTCATAGGGGACGTCATTCTCAAGCTCCGAAAAAAAATCTTAATCCACACTGTCTGTCAGCTGTCACCTCATGAACAAAACATTCAGCTAGCACAGCGGTAGGCAACCTGCGGCTCTTTATACCCTCACTGGTGGCTCCCTGTGGTTTGACAGAAAACGATTTGGAAATGAATAACATTTATTTTTTTACATTTTTATGTATTGTTGTTGAAGACCTAAACGTGTTAATTATATTATCCAATCAGAGAGCTAATTGCTTCCACACATTCACGTAATTCCTGTCCGTCTCGGAGGTTGTGTTCACTGGGAATGAACAATGACATTTTTCCATTTCACCTGGACAATAAATGTACAGATTGAAGGACAGAAATAGTGCAATGGAAATGAAAAAGACAGTGACAGTGTATTTTAATGGAGTCTATAGAGTTTATGGGCAGATGGAGGTAGAGTAAGGAATGTTAATGCCACAGAGCACATTTCACTCTCAGTGGGTTCGGTTGCCCACAGCCTTCATTCCATTTCCCTGTAGAGGTAACACACACACACACACACACACACACACACACACACACACACACACACACACACACACACACACACACACACACACACACACACACACACACACACCCCCCTGAGAGCTACATTATTCCCTCACCGCTTCGCAGGCCATGGAAATACTCTGAATTTACTAACCATGACCCAGAAACACACACAGTCACTCCTTCAGTGCTCCCCCACCCACCCATCTCCCCCCTCTCTCCTCACAAATGCAAGCACACACAGTATAGATATGCATGAACACATACCAAAGCCCTGGCATGTGTACACATACGCTCAGTTAAAGGCACACACGCACGCGCGCACACACAGACACAGACACAGACACACACACAGACACAGACACACACACACACACACACACACACACACACACACACACACACACACACACACACACACACACACACACACACACACACACACACACACACACACACACACACACACACCTCTGCCGGTTCAGTCTGATGGAGTTCTAAACGCATCAGTCACTTACTTAAAAAAACACTTATCTTGGCAAATAGCAGTCATTTTGTCTTTCATTTATCTTTCCATCAATTCCCAGATTTTATTTTGAATAACAACTTGTTACGCAAGTCTTCTTTCATGATGTCGGGGCATCTTTCTCCGGCGCAGTGAGCGTGAACAGTCTATTTTGAAAAAAAAAGCTAAATTTATCTAAATCTGCCAGCAGCAAGGGCTTCACTTTTTACTCTGAGTGACATGCCACATTTCTTTGAAAGACAAGAAGTGTTCAGAGAGTAACATATCATTTACAGACATGCTGGAAACGTATATGAAGCAGCTGAAGTGACAGTATCCACCACACACATATATATATATATAAATTATAATATCATAGTTTTTTGAAACATGGTTCACATGTTTAAGCTGCTGTGCGTGGGATATGATCCACACGACGCGTGGAGCAGAACTGAAGCATCTGTGAACAACATGAATGTTTATGAGGAGCTTCCCTGGAGGGTTCGGTTGGTGCAGCAGAGGTGGAGCGACTGCACAGACTCTCAGCCTCCCTGTTGTCACACATCACGCATTCATTCAACACCACGCCGACACACACATAAAGAAAGCAGCATTTTCTCTTTGTCCTCTTTCTGGCCTTCACGACAAACAAACATCGACGCAAGTAAGGCATGATCAATGCGAGTGGGCCCCAGCCTCCTTTACTTCTCTTCTTGTCATTAAAGGCCAGATTTCATGGCGAAAGCCGAATTCAAAGTCTCTTAGAGACGAAAACATCAGCTACTGAAAGCCAAGATGTGCACATTAGTTTGTGATCAGTAGACAAAGAGGGTAGAAACTAACATACTCCTTTTTTTTAAATCGTAACCAAATGTATTTTCATTCTAGAGTCTAGACTTGACCTAGACTAGACCTTGGATAAGACACTGAACCCCAGGTAAAGTGCTACTTCTGTTAAGGTAGAAAAGCCCAATCGGGTTACCACAATCCCGTTTGAGTATCGGAGTTCATGAGGACAGTTTCCGACGTCACTTGACGGCAGTGGCTCTTTATGAGTCTTGAATTAACTTGAGTTCAAGGTCAGAAACTCTTCATGTGCTGTTTGATGACAGTAACTACTGTGTGGCTGTTGTAAGGCACCGTGTCGTGGAACTGTGCAGCTATATATATATATGTATTATGTAAATGTATTTACGCAGCTGGGTCAATGAACATTACAGTCAAACAAGGAAGTCCAGGACCAAAACGCATAAAGGACCACTTCAGAATACATCAGGGTTTCTTTCTCTCACAGCCCACTACAAATTATTAAGACATCCCCAAGTGTCAAACTGCACAGACATCATCAAACATCGAACTGTAACAAGAAGACATTTCACACGGGAGACTAAGTACATCGCGCGCCACATTAAAAGGGTTCAACTAGCAAAATACGGGGTGGCTTTTATTGTGAAGTACTCACAGGAAACAGTGTATTTGTCACTGAGGTCAGCGCTGACAATTATTCGTCAAAATGCATCTACAAACGGTCATTTTGGGAAACTACTGTTGCCATGTGCAGCATGAAATCAGACTGACCGACTTCTTCATTACAACTGCTCAACTAGTGTTTGCTGCCTCAAGAATTCTGGGACATCTGCCACCCTGCTGATACCGTGGTAACCACAGGTGACACTGAATCAAGGATTACAACTTTAACCTATGCCAGATTACTTGTAAAGATTACCTTTGTGTTGTTGAGTCTCTCCACTTTATCAACATCCTTCTCTTTCTTCTTCTCCTCTTTTTTCTTTTCACGCTCCTTCTGTGAAGAAAGGAGAAAAGATGACGTAAGACAGTGGCGTATATAAAACACACTGAATCTGAATATGTTTATTACTCAGAAATGTATTCATGTATCTAGACTCAACAGTATAGATACATTACGTCGATCACTGACTACCTTTACACACACACACACACACAACACACACACACTCATCTTCCACTATTGTTCTAAATATGACAATATTCCACATTTGGATATTCCTAGTTATTATTTAAGACATGTGGGATATGCCGATATTATTCAGGTTTTAGAAGAATTTGGAATATGCGTCTCACTGTACGTTGTAAACAAACCAAACCAACAGTTTGAAAGGCTGAAGCAGAGATACATGCACAACTACAGAAGGAGAAACATATTTTTAAATATTATGAAATAATTGAAATAATAAAAAATAAAGAATTAATAAAAAATATATGTTCAAATGTTTCAAGAAAGTATGTGAATGAATGAAAGGGAGGCTGCATTTGCACAGCAGCTGTTCTACTTTTACTACAAGGGACAACATCACTGCAGCTTGAAGGAAGGAAGGAAAAGGAAGAAAATATACCGCCGTGGATTCCTCTTCTGAAATGAACTACCCACACTGCCAGTTTGGCATTGCCCTGTTTGGAACTGGCCGTTGTGTCCTAAAATGAAAGTTGCGGATTTCCTCATTAAACTACATAAATCATGTTTCCCAGTGTCTGTCGTCTGTCTGCACGTCAACAGCAGCACGAGATTTGGTGTAACGTTAACAGACGGGTAGTTTGGTTACTTTAATCCAGTTGTTCCCAACCTGGGGGTCCTACCCCCTTGATTTTAAGGAGTGTAAGAAAACGAGTTACTTTTACAGTTACGATTAATATCCTAAACTTTAAAGACAGCCTCGTCCTGCATTAGAAAAGTGTGTAGTTAAAACAACAAAGAACTAATAGGACAATAGGGCAAGGGTCAGGGAGAAGTAAACACTGAATCTGTCAGAAAAGAAGCCTATTAAGTGTGAATGATGCACAGTACGGACAGAGAACGGGATAAAAAGGAAATAATCTGCTTAAAATCCATTTTACACAAACTTCCTGCAGTGATTGTGTTCACTGTTTGGGTTCAGTTGTTCTCTGCTGTTACTGTTGTTACTGAATATAATATGAAATATCTATAAAATATGTCACTTAGTTTACTCAATGATAGAAAAGGAGTGCCTTAAGGGAAAAATACTGCTTCAGTTGGCCATAAAGTGAGTAGAAGAGCTCAGGTTGCAGTATAATAGTTACTGTGTGTGTTTGCTAAAGTTTAATACAGTGTTTATGTGACATTACTGCTATAATAAGTTTTCCTTTTCAAGGTAAAAGTATGTAAGAATTATAGCAACATTTACTTGACTATCACTATTATATATGATGTTTTTGGATTATTATTACTGCTTCATTAATGATGCATTTTGCTGCTGTATTAAGGTCGAGCTAACTTTGTATGGACTTTATATACTGTTCAGTAGTTTTGGTGTCCTACATTTTGGCTGCAATGCTCCAATAAATTTGTATTTATCAAAGACCAAAGTGGCCTTGCCCTAAAAAAGGACTTAATTCCAGGCGTGCAGTGTGTCTTTAACAGTTTGATTAATTGGAGTATGCACAGCTGCATGTAAACGAGAACGTTAGTGGAATATTTATTTTCAATTGTAAACAGCTTAGTAGGAATAGTGTCTTTTTCACACATGTAAACGTAGCCACGGTGATAACTAACATGCGTCTGTCCTGCAATACCATAATTGTCATGTAATACTGCTTAAGCATGCAGAAAGACGCCACTGTTCTTCATTAAATCACCATTCGACAACCATTATATTCTGTAGGAGGAAACATGAGGCCTAATAGTAAAGATTTGCTGTACCTCATGGCAGGTTGAAAACAATTAGATCTCGTTCCTTAATGTGATTTTAATGCACTCACAATGCACTTTTAATGTGCACACATTATTAGCATACGGAGAGTTGATGTAGTGTTTTCAGGTTAATGGATGTCTCTTGCTTTGTTGTATGTAAATGAGCCGGTGCTGATGCCAGCCACCAACAGGCTTTAGCTAATGACTGTCAGGATGCCAAAGAGAAAAGCTTTAGCTTAGCGGGTGAAGCCTACAATCTCGCCATTATGGTAACAATGGCAGCCTGTTTCTGTCTCTGTTCTCAATGCAATCACTTTACTGGCTCTTTGTGTATTTATAGTTATTTATTCGGAGATGGTTATTTGTCTTGAGGACATAATAAACAATGCGACATAATCATCAATATTTACAGTGACGCAAATCTGAACGAACACTGACTCACTATCATTTGTGCTCTTCTGTGAGAATGCATTAGCTCTGTGGGTTTTATACTTTACACTAATGGGATGAATATTAAAAACACTGCACATTATAAAAACTGTCACACAGAAAGCATGGGTCAAACGTCAAGGCTTTCCACAGCAGATATATATTTATATATATATATTATTATTATTATTACATATATAGGCTCGAATTGAATTTCTAAAGATTCTGGGAGGGATTTTAAATAAGAGGAACGTATGGACGCTCATTTCCACCAATGTGACAAGAAAAATGATTCTGTAAGTCATTACAATGAGAAACTTCTCAAATAATGACTTGACTTTGTGATAATAAGTCATTATTTTGAGAAAGTTTGGCTTACGTAATATTTTTTTTCCATCACATTAGCAGCAATGGGTTTCCATAGAAGTGGAAGCAACAATGGCTACTGTTTATTGATTAGACTGATTCACTGTTACAGTAATTATTAATGCAAATATGGCAGAAAATGCTGTTTTCAGCCTCTCAAATATGGAGAATACGAGGGGTTGGGATGAGAGGTATACGTGTTACATGTAAGATGAATTAATGTGTCTTTTATTTTATGTCTTGTGTTTTGTTTGTGTGTTTATGTTTCATGTAATCCGTACACCATCTCCGGATATTATACCATCCTTTATATGAAGGTATTATCATATATGCCTGTTGGTAAGAGGTTGTAAGCAAACATCCGTGGTGGAAGCATGAATTTAAATAAGGATAATTATACAAAAAAACAGTTACAATCATTTTTCATGCAAAAATGGCAGAAAATTATGTTTTCAGGTTCCTCCAAATTATTTTTGCAAAGATAAAAAAAAAGGACATTTATGTAACGTGCTCATTTTGTCAAGTGGCTCCAGAAGATTTACGTCATTTAATTTGGTCTCATCCTCATTCTTGTTCTTTTTGGAAAGATATCTGTGCTTTTATTTCCCAGTGTATTTTCAGATTTTATCCTTTTATATGAAAATGTTCGGCTTTATATTGAAACCCTCTACCAAAATAAATCTGTTATATCATTAATTTGATCATTTTAAACCAAAAGTGAAATCAAACAATACATTACATTACTCCTACTACATGTTCTATGTTTACCTGTCCGTAAATAAAGTATAAATACTCTATGAGAGAGATGTTCTTCTTTTCTCTGTTTTAAATCATATTAAACTGAATATCTTTGGGTTTTTGACTGACAGAACAAGACATTTAAAGACCTTTTTCACTATTTTCTGACATTTTATAGACCAAACAAATAATAATGATAAATAAAATAATCATTAGTTGCAGCCCGAGAACAGTATCACAGACAGTGGCCCTCATTCTGTTTAAACCATCTATAGTACGGCACACAAGCTACACTCTGGCTGCATTTTTGTTGACATATCCATCAGCAAGTTTATTATCTCTGAGGCTCTGGCAGGCACCAAGTCTCTGACTCTATTAACCACGAGCTAATGAGGCTAGCATTGGCCAATTAGCTCCAGCAGCATTAGCAGGCTATTATACTCCCATCTGATCCTCACTCATAAAACACAGCAAATTATAGCCGGGATCCTCCTCCACATATCATGTTGGCCGTGTTTCTAACTTTGGTTATTTAATTAGTTCATGTCTGCACTCAGCACCAGCGCGACTCGAAGGAGCACTGACGCACAGGTGCAAAGGATTATGGTCGGTAGAGACTGGAAACGCTTTTAATTACTATTATTAGAGACAGAACGTTTAGGCAATATGTCTGACATTAATTGAGAAAAATGACAAAAAGAAATGGAACAGATGTCTCTGAGCTTGGACAGCTTTACCCAACTACGACGTATTTTACATTACACCGCATTTAAATAAAGCCTTCAAACAATAAGTCGACTGACAGCAGGGGATCTGCTGTACTGCCAGAGAAATAATCTGTTTTTTATGGGTTAATGATCTATCGGCGGTCGGCCACCGTCCCAATTGATGTTGGCTAATTTATAGGGTTGAGCGAGTACACCACTATCTGAATCCGTTGAACCAACTAAATCATCTGTATTCGTATCCGTAGTTAGAATAGGCGGGGCTTAAACCAGACTTGGGTGGTGCTTAAATCTGAAATGGACATGGCTAAGTTAAGATTGATATGGGTTGATCAGAAGTTGCAATATTTATTAGAAAAGTATTTACAGAATTGAGATTACGGAGTATTTACACATTTTACTGGTTTTAAAAAGCATCAGAGATTATATTTTTATACAATTCTTTGTCTGTTTTTGTCTGTGTGTTTATTTTTTACTATAGAAACTATATAAACATAAAAGAAAAATACCATTTAATTCAGTGTTTTCAAATAGTTGGACTAAATGCTGAGATACTGCATACACAAAATACACAAACTGTTATGATGTCCGAAGTTTCTTTAGAAAGCCCGATAACTGTGATGTGGTTGATAAACGAGGAGAAAGAGAGGGTCTCGTGTGGTGGAGGATGACAAGCAAGAAATACTGATAACGTTTATCAGCTAATGTTACAGAGGAAGCAAGAAGCAACAAGGAGGTCAAAATCATTCATCTGCTTTGTGTGGCGTTGACAAGAAAAGTGGCCACGTGGTCGGTGCTTCTGATCCTATTTTCTCTCCATGCACTCATAAATGCATCATCTGTAAGCTCTGTATATTAAATGCCATTAAATGTGTCATTGTCATTAAAGAATGAAAACTGCGACTGTCTGTCACAGTGGCAGACGACGAGAAAGTTTAGGGCGAGCTCTGCAACGAGGCAACAGAACACAAACACAGCAAAGCACCAGCACACCACAGAATCCATGAAAGACCCGCACCTCCTGTCTGCTCCTGTCAGCCTGCGAGGACGGCGAGGTGGAGGGCGGAGCAGCTTCAGACGACTTCTGCTGGAAGACAGAGAATTTCAGACAGAGGGTTAGACAGAGACAGAGACAAGGCGTGGAGAGGAGAGGGGAAAAAACATGGAGACAGACAGAAAGAACAAGGAGAACAGAGTAAGGAGACAGAGCATCACAGGGGGAGGAATGGAAGCAGAGACAGAGCAGAGTTAATTAGAGGGAATGAAGGAGGATTTTCTCCGCTACAGTAGGGCCCTCCTTGCTCCAGTAGATGCTGCAAGCCGAGGTTATATTCAGCCTCACAGCTGCACAGAAAGAATGGTGTCAAAATAACACACACACAGTTATATAGTGCAAGGATGACCTCCATTAACCTGTCGTTGACCTGTGAGACCAGGTTCAAATTGATCTCTGCAGTCTACCAGCAACAGTAACCGGTTGTTTTTTATATCTCTGTTCATCAGAGTGTTTTGCGGAGTGGGAGACAGAGAGCAAACAGGGTGACCCCCTCAGGCCTGTTGCTGGGATACTTCACCGCCATACTGGACCGGGCAAGACGGGCCTGTTTCTTGCAAAGTCCAATGTTGATGGATGTCAATGTCAATGGTCAATGCAGAGTCTATGTATATACGTCTATGGTGACAGCAACCATGTATTCCCCTGAGCGCCATATTGGAAGAAGTTACACACGTGTGTAAAAGGTAGAAAGTATTAAAATGTCAAATATGATCAAACCACTCCCACACAGTCCCAATTAAGTAACTAATACATAAATAAAAATAGGGCTGCTCCCTCATAGTCGAATTAATCGTCAGTCAAGAGTCAATCAGTCGGATAGTTGCAGAAAAAGAACAATAGCATTAAACTCTGTTCAGTAGCTGCACCTCTGAACACCTCTGTTCTAAACACCTCTGGTCTCTGGGACCAAAGTATCAGAGGATTGTTGCAACACAGACTTTCTCTTGTAACACAGGGAGTCACTTTCTAGTGTGCTGTTGCTTATGTGAACTGTACTAGCTGCTGCCATGAGCTAGTTAGCGGTCCTATTATGGGAGCTGGAAGGAAAGTGGTAGGTTTAAACACTACTACTGCTGCTGCTGCTGCTGCTGCTACTACCTAAAGATGTTGACTTTGTTGCTTACTTAGTCAAGAATATTTCATGTTTTAGTAAAAACATCATATTTCAGTTATTCTGACAGATATTGCAATATGATTTCCGATTAATGTGGGAATTATCATTTTTGCATCACCAAGTTAAAAACTATTAAAATCATGACGATGTGAAATAGTTTGAGGTCTGTAACAAACAAGCACGTTTTCTTAAATCTGGAGAACAAATCTGTAGGTCAGAATAATGCTGTTTGTCACACATTTGACCTCACTTTTGGTCTCCACCAGCTCCTGAGAAAGTCTTTTCACCTGGTAGAGGCTCTTCTATGATCACCAGCTAGTTAAATGTATTATATGCTGGGCAGATATCACAGTTAGTGGCAGAGGAAGACAAAAACATTGAGCAAAAAGCGTCTAAAAAGCTTCATAAAGCTGAGAGCCGTTGCATTATTCAGGGATACATTACTGCTGGAGATTCCATTCACATAATTTGATTAATTAATAGGAAAAACATTGATGACTGCAGCTTTAAAAGTATGTTTGCCTGTGCGTTAATGTGCACAGACATTTCCTTATGTCAGATGTAAGGCAGCCAAGCTCAATATGCATTTCTCCACTGACAGGAGATTATCACAGTGCCAGATGGACAGAGGAACTGAATGAATTGAGATACAGAAAGGAGAAAGTCAAGAAAAGATAATTCCCAAAACCACATTTGCATGCATGGTATATTACTACTTTCATATTCAGGAAACTCGAGAGAATTTAAACTAAGTATTTGTTTCAATTTTTTTTTTTTGACTGTGAAAAGGCTGATTTATGAATTCTACAGCTTAGTGCACACACAATCTATCGGGAAGGCAGACCATTACCAAAAATTAAACACACACTTTCTTCAATAATTACTTCCATTTTCAATGAACTTTCTTAAATCTTTCCTGCCTGTAATGAGACATTTCAGTTAGCAGACTTAACTAAACAGCTCTGATGCTACCTTGGCCTCGTCTTTATCACTTCCTTTTTTTATTCTTTGCCATCTGTTCGCTGCCGCTCTGCATGCGCCGCGGCTTCTGCTACGTCCCTCAAGACTTGAGCCTCGTCTCCACTTACTGCCTCTCCACACAACAGCTGAACAGATTGATTATTCCAAAAAAAGGCAAAAGGAATTAAACAAAAAACTAAAGACATGTATGTTTTGAAAATGAAATGACGTAGAGAACGTTTATAGAACACTGAGCCGTGTGGAGCTATGGTGAGGCGTTTAATACGGTTTTACCAGATTCTGACAGTATGACAGAATAACTTCACGGTCTATAATGGTTTGAATTATACTTTCATGACAAAATAAAATCCACACACCTGTGGGAAATGGAAAATTCAACTATTCAACCCAGTGATTCGAAACAACAACCCAGCAGGCCTAGTTTCATCAACTACAAAACCATGGCAGTGGTTCCCAACCTGGGGGTCGGGACCCTCACCCACACACTTTTTAAATTGTCATTCAACACACAACACAAACTGCACTCAGAGCATTCACCCTCTGATAAAGAGCCACAACAAAGAGCTAACAGAACAACAGGCCAAGCATCAAGGGGAAGAAGACACTGAATTTGTAAAAAGAAAAAGCCTATTAAGTCTGTATGATTAAAAACTAAAACACACACATATATATATATATATAATACAGACGAGAAAAGAAGAAATATGTAATTTAGTCAGGGGTTATCAGTTTACTCTGTGACAGAAAAGGGGACCCTTAAAGATAAAGGTTGGGAACCACTGAACTATGGCACCTCATACACCTTCAAATGGACAGACATGCAGACAGCATGGTGGGTAACTGTTCTGTTTATAATACATTGTGTTTAAGTTACTCCGACCTCCATGAACCCACAGGACTACAACTTATCACAACTTGGGTTTTGTTTGCTTTTTCCATTTGCACACTTTACCTGGTAGAGCTGGCGAGTCCATGCTGCGCTGAAGTGGCCTCCGACCTGTGGCCCTCGCTGTGTGTCATTCTCTCTCTCTCTCTCTATCTTTCTCCTTTCCTGTCATTCTACAGCTGTCTCTATCAATTAAAGGCCAAAAAATGCTTGATTTATTAAAGTTTTTCAGTAACGTGCCTTTGAAAAACAACCGTTTTATCCGTCTTCTTCTCAAACTTGAGGCAAACGGCACAATACATAGTTCACACATCCTCCAACGCCACCCAACTCAACTCCTGTGTTCAGGATAATTGAAATGCTTGCTCGGGATTCAGTTCATAAACTCTGTCTTTACCCGCCGTCATTCTCTCTCGGGGGTGACTGATTGGTACTCAGCATGTACAACTCTCAACAAAGACGAGAAGGAAGTCAGATGACTCACTCCTTAGCTACTTCCAACATGCTCTGAAAAAAAACCCAATAATTTTTACTACATTTTTGTCCCTGACCAGAACTCACCAGTTGAGCCCATGTATCAACTCTTACTAAAGTCTAAATATCTGAACAGTTAATCAAATTCTTCATGGAGACACGATCTACTGTACGTGTGGTTCATCCACATTCTTGCCTAAATCAGACTCAACTTTTACTTCATTATTCATTAGTACTAAAATAAGAAGTTGGAGCTTCGGTTCAGGGGTCTGGAACGAGGCTGCAGAGTTCGCCATTGCACGCCAGTTCTACATTTGTTTTTGTCAGAGGCTTAAATGAGGCAAAAGAAATGGTAATCTGTGATGGGACACTACCATTTCCCACTTTGGACTGCTGATAAAACACACTTCTTAGCATCTAACTGTTCTTAACCACCCAGAGAGGGATGAATCCACAGACATCATTAACATCAACCCACCTCCCTTTCTTCCTCACACTGTTCCTCCCCTCCTCCTTTGCTCTCTTAACTACCTCGGGCTGGAAACTAACACTGACTGTGTCTTTCTGAGGGCAGAACAGAAGAATGTTTTCTCCCACTTTTCATCTTTCTCCATTTCCATCCTTCTCCCTCCCTCCTCAACTGTTAGGCATCAAACGACTGCTTGCTCTTGTTGCCTGTGGTGGTGAAAGGAGCGCAGCAGAGATGTGAATTCAGAGCATTTTCTATCCCCTACTTATTCTGTTGATGTCTTTTAGGTTTTTTTTTTTTTTTTTCAAAACTTCCTCCTCTTCCGACTTTGATGCTGCCGGAGATGTCGACACAGCACTAAACAGGCGCAGATGGGCTGATGATGATGATAAAGCGAAGAGAGACTGGAGGGTAAGAGGGAGGAGTGAAAGGAATACAGAGCAAGAGGGAAGGGGGGGGCAGAATGATAAAGAGTGGATAGATAACAAGAGGAGTGGTGCGAGCTGGGTGAAAGAGGATGAACAGAGGGTGAATAGATATTAGGACTTGGAGATAGAAGCGTTTGGCTATCTGCTGTGGCGACTACTGATAGTGAGACAGAACGATGGTTAACATCATAACAGAAACGTGTCCACTGGGTAGACCTTTAACAGCTTCATTTGTACTCGTACAGAGGACGCTCGCTCAAGGGAAGTGGAACACAGAGACTAAAACAAGAATTATGGAGGCAGAGGGAAGGGTTTTAGATGTTTAAGCTGCAACATAACTCCTAAAAGAATATTGAGTCACGTTCAACTTTATGACCTTGAGCTATGTTTTGTGACATGGTTGTGGGAGATATCACAAATCTGCTTGCAACCTCAAATGCATCTATCATAGAGGACTATATAGAACTAGGGGCGTGCATGTCTCCCATCTAAGATGATCCGATACGTATCCAGATACATGGGCTACAATACGATTCAGCGACGATGCATTTTAATCCAGAACAATTCGATTCAATGCAATCTGACTCAGTACTTAACATTGGTTGTGTAAAAGTGACATTGTTTACCTTCAGAGACATATATTTTATAATATTATAGTAATAATAGTATTACAATAAA